AAGGTAATAGGATCTGAGAGTAAAGACAATATCCGGTTCCATCACACAAACTTATTTGCTGCGTGACCTTGTGTGAGTGATGTCACTTCCAAGGGACTCTGCTTTCTCAACAGGGATGTCCCTGGAGAGCCTGGCAACTTTCACGTGCAGGGCTTGTGCACGAAGTGAGACGTTCTCAGTTCCACGGCGACCAAGCAAGCTGTAACCCGCAGCTGCATCTCCCAGGGGGCAATGCTCTGTCCACAGTCACTGCCAGGTCCAATCGGTCCTGGGCAGGGAAGCCGACACGGCCAGGGAACCACCCAGCCGCGATGCCAGGCCACTGCCCTCCCTTCTCCCGGGACCACGCTGTTCTTGTCACAGTGTTTCATGACACAACTGTTTTGAGAGTCTGCCTGGGAGCTCAGAGTGCGGGGCTGGCTCCCTCGCAGCCATTTGCAGCCAGCGATGGAATGCTTCGTTGATGCCAAGTGAAGGGAACAAGTTTTCAGATGGCACAAAGCAGCCTTCTTAACTCAGCCTGGCATATTTCCTGGTGGAGACGGCCACATCCGAAATGAGGTGGAAAGAGAACAGCAATCAAGTGATGTGCTGCACTAGAGGGAGGACAACTCTGGGCGATTTTCTTCTTTTTCCTAACTTCCTCCCCCGCCCCGCCCCCCACTCCCAGTTTTCTGTCTTTAACAGTGTGCCATACAGCTTCGGTGGAAAGAACCGCTCGGTGTTTAGAAGATCCTGCCTAAAGGTAGCTTATGTAAGGTTATAACGTCTCAGGCCAGTCCCCAGCCACCGGGATTACAGGATTTCTGGACTTTATTCCTCTTGGGAAAAATCCAATAACCCAGGTCTCTCCAGATTGTCATAAACTTCTACTTCCACCTCGAAGCGAAATGACACCAGCTTAAAATAAGAACGCGAAGATACTGAATGTACACAGGACCAAGACAGAAGAGGGGAGGGGATTGTTCTGAAGGGTGAAGGGACATTCTTGCTGCCACTGGGAACAGCGAGTGTGGGTTGAGTGTAGACAGCGCTTCACGACAAAGATGAAGAAGTGAGGCCTGGGCGAGTGCGATGCTGCCTCCTCTTCCTCTTTATCTGAGCACTGGAAACCAACAGGCTTTACACAAACGAAGAGGAAAGATCTTCCCTGTGGGCAGGGGGTTGCCGCTGGCCAGGAGGCTGAGTTACAGAGAAGTCCGGTGATGCGGTCTTCACCAGGGGCTATATTCTCCCCCCCAGAGTGCATGTGGCCATAGCTGGAGACATTTTTGGTTGTCACAACTGGTAAGGGGAAACGTGCTACTGGCACCTCTTGGGTAGAAGACCGGGATGCTGTTAACCACCCTCCAATGCACGGGACTATCCCACACAATGAATTGTTATCCAAGGTCACGGGCACTGGATCACAAAGATGTTTATTGAGGGACTGTGAGCTGGCAGCCCAGATCCATCCTGTTATTATTAGAAGGGTGGCGCAAGTTGGTTATTTCTAAGCATCCCGTGCCACCTGTTCACTGCAAGCTACTTGCCAACCCTCACTGTTAGACTTGGCCAGGGCTACAGGATGCGAATGTGCCCTTAGGGCTGCTCCTTGTGCTGCTACGTCTTGTCCCCACTCGGCTCCACCCTCTTTGGGTGCTCATCCCCAGCCTTTCCTGGCGTCACTGTTCTATCACTTTCATCTCCGTGTGAACTGAGTCCCTGTGCTGGACCTCCTGGAGAATCTGCACGTCAGGTGCATCTCAGGCTCCAGGGAAGGGATTTCCAGCCTCCACGGCCAGGGTGGGGAGTGTGCGGGAGGGGCTCTGCAAAACCATGCAGCAGCCCCTTTTCCACCCGAGGCCTGGGTCCCTCCCAGAGAAGACACACAGCCTGCCTACCTGGGGTCTGGATTCTGGCTAGACCCCTAAAACTTCCATACTTTCTCTTGCTATAGGCTCTTGAACTGGGCTGGGCTGAAGTCAGTTGCCAAGGACTCAATCCAGGTCTCCCACAGGGGTGGCAGGAACACAATTCCTTGGGCCATCACTGCTGCCTCCCAGGGTCTGCACTGGCAGGAAGCTGGGGACAGGAGCAGCAGCCAAGAGTAGAACCCAAGCACGGGCATCTGCCAGGCTGAGCACCTGCCCTAAGACAAAGCTTCAGTTGAGAAATGTGAAAGTTTTCTCTCTATGTTCTTTGTTTAACTGCATTCAGAGGTTTCTTACTAGATTTCTAGGATTTGTGAACAAAAAGAATTGTTTGTTTGAACAACCAGAAAATAGAGGATTCCCCTCCCCCCAAGCATCACTGTCTTTATTGATTTTCTGAAGGCTCAGTTTTGTAGTTTTAAAAATTATCATAACTGAATAGATTCTGGAAAGATTCACAGAGCCATTCTAAGAGTTTGAAGAGATAACAGAGGTGCAAGAGATTTGAGAGCTATCAACGTTGTTGCGTGTCTAACGATGGCATGGTGGCAACAGGAACATTGCTTAAAATGGGCCAAAGCAAGACCTCTGTCCCTTAACACCCAAGGCTCCCATCTCCAGAATAGTGGGCCAAAGCAAGACCTCTGTCCCTTAACACCCAAGGCCCCCATTTCCAGCATAAAATCAAACCATTCCCGATTCTCTCTGTCTGCTTCTAAACACTGTCACTGGGCTCTACATCTCCACAATCAGCACTTGATGGGCATTTCATGATTCATAAAATTTCAAGGCAATTTGCAATAGGATTATGTGCTTCTTAATTTCAAGACTAACAGTTCTGCTTGGCCAGACGCCACTGGAGACAGTATTAGGTTCCCCGTTCCCTGTCTGTCTCCCTCTCCCATTGGCTTAGGTTAGGCAGTGTTGTCTGGATTAGTGAAAATGCACACAGTGTGGGAGTGAGCTTAGGCTGATAAGCGTGCCACTGCAGAACGTTTCAGAAGGAATCCGTCATATTCCATCCCTACCGGCTGTTTGCTTCCCTTCTCACAGCACACTTGACATGGCAACTTCCAAGGAGAAGATATCAGGGAATCTTGTTTGCAAGACAAGAAAAGTAGTGACAGACTGCAGATATAATACAAGCATCTTACAAAGTTCATGGAAAGTACATAAACAGAAAAAGCAATGCACGATTTCAAAAAAAAAATTGCTTCAAAATAAGCTTGCCCTTTACTTTAATTTTCCATGAATTTATATACGTTGCAAGTAGCTAATTACAGAGATCCCCAAATTCTTTAGAATTCACTTCTTTTTACTATGCAACCTAAACCAACAACCAGAAACCAAAATGTCTTTAGATGTTAGTCTGTAGCTTCATTTTTTAAGATCTTCTATTTCTTAAATTCACATGTAGCTTTGTTCTTTTTAAAACATTTTATTTCAGAATAACTTTAAATTTACAAAACAAAAATTGTGACGTAGTGGGAAGAATTCCCACATAGCCCACAGCCAGCCTCCCTACTATTAACATCTTATCCTAGTGTGATATTTGTCACAGTTAATGGACCACAACCAGCTTCTCCTTTTGTTTCCATCTATATTCCCTCTATCCCTCCCACTAAAAGAAAACCCACCGTTCCTAACACATAACCAAACATTTCATTTTCTATCATCCTCGGACTACTATTTTTATGTGAACAGTATTTGTTTTGTTTAACTCAAAAGAATATATAAACCAAGCTCAACGACAAAAATTCTTTCAAACAGAATGTTTTCAGAAAGCTAAAGGAACTTGGTAGTATGAAACATTTTTAGTGTTTGTATGAAACGTTGCCCAGCTAAATATCTCTTCAGGAATATTCTGCCCCTGAAGCAGATTCCATGTGCTTTTCTGCACCAAGCATCGACTCTGTGCTGCGTGTATGAAGATGGTCCAGGACTAGCCGGGTCTGGACATCACCTTCCATCCTCCCGCCACCTCCAATCCCAACCTTCACACTCTTGGGCATTCTAGATCCCTTCCCAGCAAGCTGTGCACTGCAGGACTCCTGCGTTCCCAAAGACATCTCCAGACCTCCTGCACAGAGTAAGGTGGAAGGCGGAAAACGTCTAGACTTGGAGTTCGTGGAGATGGGTTCTAGCAGGAGCTTTACCCTGGCACTGCTGTCGCCCTGCTTCCTAACTTGAAAAGTGGCCCGAATGATGGCCACTGCTTCCTGGGAAGAATTCACACCCTCCCGTGACATCAGTGACAAAGCCCTATGGGAAGTGCCATTGTAGGAGGAGCTAAGACTAGAGAGAGTCGTGTCTTTCTTTGCTTGTATTAACAGTGTGGAAGTGTAGACAGTTCTGTCTTCACATCTTTTTCTGTGCTCTTCGATGTTTGATCATTTACTTATGATCAATGGACGTTTTCCTGGTCACTTCTCAGTCCCTTGGCAAGAGGAGAGTGTTTGGCCTAGTGACTAAAGCACCACTTGGGATGCCCGCATCCCATAATGCAATAAGGGCCTGGATTCAAGTCCTAGCTCTGCTCCTAATTCCAGCTTCCTGCTAATGCACACCCTGGAAGGCAGCAGGTGACGGCTCAAGTGGTGGGGTCCCTGCCACTCATGTGGGAAATCGGAATTGAGTTCCTGGTTCCTGGCTTTGACCCGGCACTTCCCTGGCTGTTGTGGGCATCTGGGGAATGAACCCATGGGTGGGAGATATCTCTCTCTCTGTGTCTCCTTCTCTGTGTCTCTGTCACTGTTTTCCAAATAAATAAATAAAATCTAAAAAGCAACAGTGAACTAATAATTATTGTGCTAAATTACAAAGAGTAATGGTCAATAGTACTATGAAATCTGGCACCATTTTTTTCTGAAATCAAAGAAACAAACCGTCCTAAGATAAGAATTTTGTTTTATATTTAATTGCACGTGACAAGTTCAGAGAATTCAAGAGCTATCCCGCAGGTCAGAAGTCAGAATCCTATAAATAAAATGTTGTTGAGTGTAAGTGACTTTTTCAGCAGCTCTCAATGAATTGGCCTCTACACGGAGGCAGGGGGTGCGTGTCCAATAATCAGTAGCTGTTTCTTACCATTGCAGACCCCACGCGGCTGACTTTGATGGGGTTTCCTCTGCCAGAGAGATCCATCTGTGCCCTATCCATCACGTACAAGCAAGCATCGAGGATGCCATCTTCAAACTATTTGGGGGAAAAATGAGAAATTGGTTAATTTCCACTCTGCAAACCAGATATTCTCTGCTGAAGACAAACCGAAATCCTAAGCTGATGTTTAGAAATGTATGTTTCCTATGAGTACGGTCATCTCTCCAGATCTTCAGTAACAAAGATTAAAGTGAGAGGGTGGCAGGCCGGTGCCGCGGCTCAATAGGCTAATCCTCCACCTAGCGGCGCCGGCACACCGGGTTCTAGTCCTGGTCAGGGCACCGGATTCTGTCCCGGTTGCCCCTCTTCCAGGCCAGCCCTCTGCTATGGCCCAGGAGTGCAACGGAGGATGGCCCAAGTGCTTGGGCCCTGTACCTGCATGGGAGACCAGGAGAAGCACCTGGCTCCTGGCTTCGGATCAGCGCGATGTGCTGGCCACAGCGCGCTGGAAGTGGCAGCCATTGCGGGGGTGAACCAATGGCAAAGGAAGACCTTTCTCTCTGTCTCTCTCTCTCTCACTGTCCACTCTGCCTGTCCAAAAAAAAAAAAAAAATGTGAGAGGGTGGCGACGTCTTCCTTTATTTTTCAGTAGAGTGAATAAGCAAGTGCAAAATAGAAGCAGAAAAGGAGAGAGCTGATGTATTGAAGGGTCATGTATGATTTGAAGCTCTTCAGAAAACCGTCCCAGTTAATTTAGGTGGCCAAGGCATTTAAATAGCCAAGATAGAGGAATGGATACTTTGCCAAAGTCAGAGACTTCAAAAACAGCCTGAGACATTGGAAATGCAGTTTCACAGGAAACTACTTCAGGCCTATTTAGCTACACCCACAGTAGTAGGAGACCTCACATACATAGCCAGTGTTCTCTAAGGCTTCCCCTCTCCTGAAACAATGAGACCCCTAGGGTTAAAGGGAGGGCAGAAAGGCCTAGAAAGCAGATTACATTATTACAGGAAGAACAGTATAGCCAGTTCAGTGTCCTTAGAAAGAACTGCCAATAACAGGCAGTACCAGACTTTTCTCGAAAAGGACTCAAGACCAAATAGCAATGTAATAGCAAGACAGAGATTTTTATCTACACTGTACCTCATTTTAACAGAACGTTTTGTTAAGTTCAGAAACCTTTCCTCCACCTAAATACTTGGGACAGAAAATACAATCTTAATGGCTCGTTGCCATGCGCTTGCTTATTAAATCCAGTTGGGACACCAACTTTGCATAGACCTCACACTGAGGGGATAGATGCAGCAGGGGACGATTGATTGCACTCTTTCAGGTATAGAAACAAATCATTATTCCGCTTCTGCTTCAACATCATCTCTCAGTTGTGTTTTTGGGACGTGATGGCAACTGTGTGGAAAGCTAAAGAGATAGTCACAGAACTGTCATTCCCTGCTTCACTGCTGAGAACTGCCATGGCTGGTTATTTTGGCGGAAGGACCGGAATCAATGGATTCACTGAGTGATGGTAGTCACAAACAGTGCCCTCACTCAATGGTGCCTACTCCAAGGCACGACGGCCAAAGAGTATCCTGAATGTGCTCAGGGCACCTGCCCAGTTCCCTTTGCTCTCCAGGTTGATGGTTTTCCTTCCTGTTAGCCACAATCACATGGGGGCTGTAATAGAACCTTGTCTAAAGGCTGGGATTTGGGGGCCCTAAGGCAAGGGCACCAGACAACGGACAGAGTCAAAGGGTTTATTCCACTGATGAAGAGGAGGGCATGGCACCATTAGGCCAGGCAGGAATCCCCCAAAAGTGCAAGGAATTAGAGCATAGATTAATAGGACATTGGAAATTCAGGTAGGTCAGCAATCCTGGGCGAGGAGTCAGGGTGAAGCTGGGTGGGCAAGTGACCAGGCTGTACCAGAGAGTGAGGGACTCAGGGAGAGTCTGGGTAGAAGTCAAAGCAAGGTTTTAGAAGCCAAGAAGTACCATATGAGCCGTCAGGGCCAGACTCTGAACTCTCTGTCCTGGGTACCCAGAGTGATGATGCCCCATTCCAGTTATCTCAGACCAAACTCCAAGGAAGGCCACACTCATCTCTCCTGTTGTCAATGAAAAACCCTTTTCAAATCACAGCCCCTTCATTGCCTTACAGAAATACAGTAAAATATCATTCGTTTGCTCTGTTGTTGAAGACTTCAAACTGACCTACTAGGAAATGAATTATTAATATGTTAAGGAAATGCCATTTGATACTTTGTATCAAGACAGTGAGTTGAGCTTGCTGCTGCTAGTCTGGCTCTCCATGAAAACTCAGTGGGTCCTCCTTGGAGGAAATGGCCACCCTCTGTTCTAATGAGCTATCTCTTAGATTCACCCTCTTGTAAAAAGATGCGTTCTTTCTTTGAGGTGGACACACCCCCTGCAGTCTTCTTGGCATCACTATCTAAATCCCTTTCTTTATAAGACAAGGAGAATGTTGGTCCTTGCCAGATTGAGCTAATGAGATTTCAGTGCATGAAAAGGTCAAAGCACACCTCACTAGAATGCTACGTTATCCACAGAACCCTTGATCTCTGTATAGTGTAATAACCAAAATACGTGGTTGCAGCTGATAAATTAAGCAGTTGTCTGTCTAAGTCTATGCGCTTATACTCGTTGTCTTGGAGTCTCCGATCCTGAAAAGCAGGAAATTGTGCTTGTCTCGTATCACTATGTGGCACCTGCAGGGATACAGGTGGAAAGATATTAAGTAAGAATGCCCTTGGCAATGACAAACTAGAACGGGCTCACCTGGCCATAGCTCCAGCTTCTACTCTTGATGTCATTGACCTCGCCGTAAAAAATCACCCCAAGGTCATTCAGGACATACTCTTCTTTCTCTTTTTCATCATCCAGGTATACAGCATCCTCTGCACCGGGATAGGAACATAATGGCCATTAGCAAACCATACTGCCCTCGAATTCTTGCAAGTTCATTTTGTTCCTTAACTGCGTTTTAATCAGCTCAGTGAAAAGAAAGTCTTTTGCTTTACTAAACATGGCTTGTTTCCCATTTTTTTAAGGCAGTGTTGAATATAACCAGCACCAAAGATCAGTCTATTAATAATGACATCTGTCAACAAGATGCTGACACACTCTGGCTCCTGACAATGCAAGCAGCACAATTAAATTGACATGTCTCATCAAATGTCTTCTGATTCTGGTGTGTCACTAGTTTCAGAATCAAAATGCTGTAATGCAGATGCACGATATAATTTCCAACATCTTAGTGTTAAGAGAAGACTTCCTGAATTGAAAATGATCTTTAAAACCAAATCTGGGACATGGGAGAAGACAGCAGCGTCCTTGGCATGCCCGCTGTGTGGCTGATCACAAGAGGAGGAGGGAGGCTGGAGATGGTCTCCTTTTAAGAAAAAAGTTCCCTGTGGATGTGCTGGGAACTGTGTGCCTACCCAGCCTTCTTGGTTGGCTTCCTCCATCGATAGGCCTTCTCTTGCCTGTGGCTATAATCACAAAAGGCCACCTTCCTATCTACCTTGTCCATAACCACTGTAGTCCTTGTCCTTAGAACCGGTGTGAAAGCAGCAAAACACCTTGAACACAGGCAGGACCGTACAGGTGTGTGACACATTCAGGTAAATTGACATATGTGGAACATGGTCCATCCTGGCTCTGAGTGGGTACACAGGTTAGCAGGTTCCTCTGGCCCAAGTCATCTGCCATCCCCATTCCTTCCTGGATTCTGTCCTCATTCTCTAATGAGGTTTTTACCACTCTCTTTAGAGTAGCAGTGTTCAACCTTGGCCTGATGAGCAGAGTGGACAAAATCATCTGGAGAGAGGTCGTAAGACCTAATATTCATCCGAGTTGAGTCTCAGACCAACTAAGCCAGAGTCTCTGGGGGTGGGAGGGGAGTGAGATCCGGACAACAAGATTTGGCTTTGTTTTGCAGCCCCCTAGTGATGCTGATATGCAACCAAAATTGAGGACAAATGCTCCAGCCCTCACTCCTCACAGAATGGCTGAAACCCAGCAATATTAGCCTTGCCTGGGAGTGTGTGAGACATGCAGAATCTGAGGCCCCTTCTTAGACCTACTGAGTCGGAACCTGCACATTAACAATGCACACAGGGGATTCGTGTGCACAGGAAGGTGTGAGAAACACTATGCAACTCAACAACTTGGATCCCTGTCCCAGAGCTTATCATGGTTTTCACTGAACATACTGGTAATTCCCAGGTCTTGTCTGATCTCCTCCACTTTCTTGTGTCTGCCTCTTTCTGTCTTTTATTTCTTGCCTACCATCTGTCCTATTTTGTGCTCTAACTACAGCGTGCACACAAGTAACCTCCCCCCAACCATACATACATACAGTCAGCCCTCCGTATCCTTGCCCAACTCTACAGAGTCAGCCAACCACAGATCAAAAATATTCTAAAAAAAAGTCATCTATACTCAACATATGCCCAGTCTTCATGTATGACATTATTTCTCAAACAATATAGTACAGCAACTATTTACATACTATTTCCATAATCTCAGGTATTATAAATAATGTAGACAATTTATACAGGGAAATGAGCATAGGTCATAGGCAAACACTACCATTTCATTTAAGGGACTTGGGTATCTGTGCACTTTGGTGCCCTCAGAGCCTCCTGGAACCAGGCCCCTGTAGATAACAAAGGATAACTGTGTATTTCAGCATCTGATAAACTATGCTGGTGAAGTGTACACGTCCACAATCAAGACAGAATCCTTACTCCCATCCTCACTCTCTCCCTGTTCTCCTCTCAACCCACATCTGACCATTAATTGGCTCTCTGCCCTTGGGAGCTGTCTAGAATTTTAGACAAAGGCAGTCATGCAGTATGTGATTTCTTTTCCCTTTGGAGTTCCTGCTGCTTCACCCAGACTCTATTACCTGGAAATTCACCCCTGCTTTGTGTATCAGTCATTCATTTCTCCCAAAGCCATGTTATTGTTCTAGACAATTCTAGAGTTACAGAGCCAGTGTGTCCCAGCCTCCCCTCCGCACTTGAAAGTGGAAGCCTTGATGCATCTGAACCGTTGGCCTGGCCAAGTTCTGGCGGGGGCCAGGGTTCCAGCAGTACTCTCTGTACAGAAAAACTACAGCTTCGTTTCTCAAGGGAAACCAGGCAGAGGTGATACACAAAGAAGTGAAAACTGGGTTTGAGGTCAGGATCTCTAAATACATGGAAGAATACTTTTATTCTGAAAGACAGTAAGGTGAGGATACATAAGGGCTCTTCCAGAAGTTCGTAGAAAATGCACACTTTCTGTTGAGCCCATTTTCCTTGGTTTTTTGAAGCCCCCTTGTATATGAAGGGGCTTGAATGCACACAGTCTGTGTGCTTACTATCTGATTTGATGGCTATCAACTAAAATGTCTGGAAAATGAAGGGCTACTGGGGGGAATTTTCATTTTCTTACAATAGTGGTTTGTGACTACTGTAATAATAAATGCCTTAGCCAAACCACGCAAAATATTGTTGAGACAGAATCTCCTTGTAAGACCAATGAGGTCTGGAAGTGCCATTCGGGAATGTTTTTGAAGGAAGAAACTAGAATGCTTTCCTTTAATGTAAGTTGCTTATAAAGTTATTCTGTAAGATATTAGAGTCACTATAATTTAAACAATCGATCTAAAAACAGATCAATGGATCCAACTAGCCCAGGAACAGATATGGCTGTGTGCATGTATCTTTCTGTCTATGAAATTAGTCTATAATAAAGGAACTACCAGGAAGAATGATTAGAGATTCATTAAATCCAGATGAAAAAATAGGCTGTTAGGGAAAAGTAAAGTTTCTGTACGTCAGAATAAACTACAAATTAATTTAAAATCTGAATTCAAATATTGGGAGCACAGGAAACCAAGAATAAAAATAGATGAATATTTGATCTATAGATGGGAAAGTTTCATCCAAACAAAAGTAATTTAAAAATCACAAATGAAGTTATCAGTACATCTTATTCAATGCAAAGATAAAAGTTTTGAATTTCAGATATAATAGAATTTAAAGTATGTGACAAACTAGGGAAATATTTGAAGTCATAGGAAATGTTGGTAAATTTTCCCTAGATGTAAAGAATTCTAGTGAATTGATAAGAAAATCATACAGAACATTAAAAAGTTAACAAAGGACAGCTAGTTCACAAGAGAGGAAACACGAATGGAAAATAATAAAAATATGAAAACAGCTTTGGGTAGTAGTCCAGGAACTGCAAGTTAATGTGAGAATGGAGCATCATTCTTAGCTGTGGGTAAATGTATGAATATACTTGTAATTTGCATATGTGGGTGGATTAGACTTACACCAGTAACATGTGCTGAACTGCCAATGTACTGCTGAGACTGTAATGGTTCCAATGTTTTGAAAAGCACCTTGGTAATTGTATCATTAACTTAAAAAATACCCAGGGTCTTTGATCTATAAGGTTATGAATCTATGTATTCAGTGGAAATAATTAAAAGGTGCATCCAAATGTACATGTAGAGTTTGTTCATCGCAGTATTACTTAAAATGCTGTAAAAAACTGGGGACAAAATGGAAATCCCCCCCAATTTTTCTACACAATGTAATAGTCATTTAGTCATTAAAATACACTGTGGAAGAACTCTTGATGATATTGAGGCTGCTTTTGTAGCAAAATGAAAACTCATATATGAACTTTGTACAGTTATGTTCAAAAATAAAAAGAAAACCCTGAAGTTAGTTCAGTCAAGATAACAGATCCATGCATCTGCCTTCCTTATTCCTGCTGATGCTGGCAGTGGCTGGACAGTAAGTCCTCTGACTTCACTATACGGAAGAGGAGGCCAGAAGGAGTCCCATAAGCATCTCTGGAAGAGCTGAGGGATGCTTGGAGAAAAAAATGCAAAGGGGGTGGGGGCACGAGAAGAGGCAAGGAAGACATCCAGAAAACCCCCATCTGCCTACAGGGCTCCTCCCCCTCCCCACCCCCTCCCCTCCCCCTCCCCTCCCCCTCCCCTCCCTCCCTCCCTTCCTTCCTTCCTTCCTTTTTTTTTTTTTTTTTTTTTGGTAAGAGAACACAGAAAAGTAGGAAATGGCCACAGATAAGAAGAGAAAAAGTCCCCAGAACTGAAGAAAGACTTACCAAACATGGTAAATGAAAGCAACCAAACCAGCAAAAAAAAGGCAGCATCTACTCGCAGGCTGACTAAATATCAAGCCCTTTGACTATAATGTTTATTAAAAAGACATTATCTCGAAAAGTAAGACACAAAAACCTGTCAAAGCTGCAAAGAAAAGCATAAACCTTAAAGGCTTTAAACTCTGTGCTCTAAATCAAATTAAAATATCAGTAGTGATTTATTTTCTTTTTAAAAATTTATTTTCAAAAATTGAAATTTATTTTAAAATTTGTTAACATATCTTATGTTAAATATTATTACTATAAAATAATAATAAATAAGGAAAACTTGGAGATGATCAATACTTTTATGGTGTAGATTCTTGTGTTGATTTCATAATTGTGCACCTATCTCTAAACTTATCAAGTTTTATAATTACATATGTATAGCTTGCTATATATCAACTCCTACCTTAATAAAGTGACTTTAACATTTTCTCTTATCTATATGCAATAAATAAATTGCAATTTCTAGCTCTGTTCCCCAAAAAGAACAAGAAAACACAACCAAAGTCATAGCAATGTGTACCCAAAAGCATGAATTATGGTCTCTAACTACCGTTCTCCACTTATGCCCACTCCACCTCCAACTCAGAGGTACCTGGGCTCTTCAAGAGAAATGACTCATTACAGCTGTGGGCGAGGAAATGTGGAAGACAAATCTGAATTATTTCTTCCTGCTGGAAGACAAGCAAATGACCAAAGATTCTGGAAGCCATGACAAGGAACT